TGCAGGCGAATGGCACGTTTCGCGCGTCCGTCGAACATATTACCCTTCCCGTTATCGCGGCCGGCATGCTGGTCGGATCCGTTGGAGCTGGATGATGCATCGTGAGCATCATGCAAACGCTTTCGAAGCGCGCCTCACCGGCGCACAGAGACGGCGGCGCACCGACAATAGATATTCCGCAACGCCCACGTTAGCGGGAGACAAAGGCCTGAATGGCCGGCAGATGCACGGCCCGCGCCGACGTAATGCACCGACGTCCGTCGATTTAGAACGCGACGATGCGCCATACGTACGTACGTACGTACTTCGTTTATTCGTTATTCGTGACGAAGGTGCGGTACGTAACCGGCCAAGCGTACGCGTTTCCCATCTCTATCCTATCTATCTAAACTCAAACTCCGTCTCGCAGCCGGAGAGTTTGTGAGAAAATCTTCTTCCCTTCGTTCTTTCTCTTCCCTTTATCGATCCAACAGCCCTATGGATCGTCTCGATGGTCGTCGGTTAAGCGAGAAAAATAACGTCGAACTCGACTCGCAACGAGCTTGCGAGAAAATCTTTTTTCCTTGTCGATCGATTTTATCCTCGCGATCCAGTAGCCTTGGATCGTCTCGATCGGATAAGATGAAGGTTGAAAAAAGAAAAACGGGAGAAAAATAGGCGTCAAATTCCAACTCGACTCGCAACGAGCTTGCGAGAAAATCTTTTTTCCTTTGTCGATCGATTTAATCCTCGCGATCCAAGAGCCCTGGATCGTCTCGTTCGACGTTAAGGTGAAGGGAAAAAGAAAAAAGAAAAAAAAAAGAAAAATAGGCGCGTCGTAACGAGTTTCGAAATAAGTAACACGAGAGTGAGGAAAAGAAAGGTAAGAATTTCGAATAGCCGTTGCTGCGGGTACGACGGTGTTGTGAGGCTAGCTGTAACTTGCCAGGCAAGCGCGCACGTACGTACGCTCGAGGTTACGTAATTCGGAGAAGAGCACGCGGACGGAGAGGAGCGACCGGTGACGACACCTTCTTCGGAGAGAAGCCTCGAGATCCGGGAGTGTCCACTTGACTGGGAGGTAGCCCAGCCCAGCCCACGTTCCCAACACCATACCGGATCCGTGGAGATACGATTCGATCGTGCACACGCTTCGGTTCGTTTTCACGCCACGTACGCGCTACGTACGCTTCTCAATTATCGATCGAATTATGAAACGATAAAGTTTCGACGGACGAAAAATTTTAAATTCGATCGCGTTCGATATCGCGTTTTTTTTTACCCAGATTCGATCGAAATTAGAAACGAGACGAGAGATATCGGAGGCATCGTTCGCCACCTGTGAACTCCTCCTCCTTCGTCCATCTCCTGCACCTGTCCCAGTTTCCATATTTCCGTATTAAATTCCAGCTTGGTCTCGAGTTGCGGAATCGCTATTCCCTCGGGATCGTACATCTCCATCTGCCGAGTCCTAAGACGAGTCCTTAATTAACACCCGTGTTGCGGCTCTCTTGTCCCAACCGAAAATCCCACGGCGAATCCGTGAAACGAAGAGGGTAGCAATAGCGTTGTTCCACCACGTTGTCGGTTACTACTACCACGTGTCGGTTTTATCGGGCTACGAGCCGCGTACGGTCGTTAAATCACTCGAATCCGGCAATATATTCGAGCATCAACGTATCTCTAACGAGCGTATCCCCTATCGTCCGGTTGGGATCGGCCGAAGGAAAATCCGACGAGCAATCAAACGACGAAAGATTCCACGGCTACCAAGCGGAGGCGACGAGAGGCGACGAGGCACGGCCGGCCATGTGGAATCCACGACCACTATCGGAAGCGATCGCGAAATCTTCGGGCAATAATTCACCCCCTTCCGCCCCCTCGGCTCTTGTCCGTGGTCAGAGGGCCCCCGTTCGACAGCGATGTTCTCGTAGACTCGGGCAGAAGACCACGGCATCGTTGAACGGTTAATGCTCGCATAATACGTGCACGGCACGGCAGCCGCGAGGGGAGGGGGAGGGGGGCGGGCGGGTATTGTTACTAGTTTACGTACCGTTATTTTCTTCCCGTTGACAGAAATTCCTCGGAGCGCAAAGGTGAGCGGCGCTATCCGGCCGATCTCCAACCATTTTTCCACGAAAAATCCTCTCCGTTCTTCGCCGCGCGAAATTTCGCCCGAAACATCGAGTGAAACATCGAGAGAGAGAGAGAGAGAGAGAGAGAGAGAAGTAAAATTAAACGTTCGTTCGTTCGTACGT